TATATATATATATATATATATATTAAAGCGCATGGAATGTAACATCAGGAAACTTTTGGACTTCAGATTTTTGACACCATTCTATGGGGTTTCATACTTTTGCTCCCTTCAATATTTACCCATGCAATCTCCCCATGCAATCTCCACCCAGAAGTATATCCAACATGCCAACAAGAAACTTTTGGACTTTAGGTTTTTGACACCGGGGTTTCATACTTTTGCTTCCTTACAATATTTACCCATGCAATCTCCACCCAGAAGTATATCCAATTGTGCAATCTCCACTCAGAAGTGTATCCACTTGTCAATTTGGTCCCTGCCTTTTGTAACATTGTTCTATTTCAATATTTTTTTTCGCGTTATTACAAATTTGGTCCTTCCTTGCCAATGAGTAGTGAACCCTACTTTACACTCTTAGAGTTCGTCGTCGCTCTTACATGTTTTTGGAAACTGTCGCTTTGGCCAATTTTTTTTTTAGAAAATTCTAAATTATTTCTAACCCATGGGCTCTTTCTTAGTTTTAGTTAATGCAACTTGCTACTGATATAAATATAAATTGGGTAGATAATTCCATCCCCCTGATTACTCTTCAACCAAAGCTTGAGAAATACAAACAATTTAAAAAAATGATATACACAAACATGGAAAAAAAAACAGAAATCCCATATACCCGACCTAATCCCTTAACCATCGCGTTAATAGGTTAAGCTTAGGACTAAGCTGAGTTTGCGTAGATTGGACATGAGGTTGAGGGGCTTCAGGTCTCTGGTTCTGTCTTATGTGAGGCTAATAATAACCTGTAATAGCAATATTGTTGTAAACATGCAATATCAAAATAAAATTAAAACAAAGTAAAAAATGTTAGCACAAAATTAATACATGTCCTAAACTCATAAACAATTACCTATTTTTCAAGTTTCCAGAAGAAAAAAAAAGATCTTTTCTTACCTTAACATTTTTTGTTTAGGTTGCTGATATTGTCTTTCAAGGACAGAAGCATCCTGGTCCAAGCATTTCATCGAGCAGTTGGAATGCATAGTGAGACTCTCTTTTAAATCTGAATATCAAGTGGTTGGGGGTATAACTGAATCTGACCGTTTCGCCATCGCCCCTCTCCCGTGCTTCCACCATATCCGATATCCAAGATTCATCACGGGTATTCATGTCTTTCATGAGTTCTTCATCGTTTATCAAATGCAAGCTCAAAGAAAGGTGTTTTATCATAGAAATTATCGAGGTTCCGATCTTTTTTGTTCATCATCTCGTTTGCAATCGCGGGGCAGCAAAAAGTCGAGGATGAAATCGGTGGGTCCCGTGTAGGTGTTACGGAGTCGTATTGCCATGGCAGCATTCAGCCCGTAATAAGAACTTATCGGATAATCAGTCCTACAAAAATCATTAATGTCAGTAAAGCAAGGTTGGTTTGTACCCAACGCTTTACCAGCAATACCTTCTCCTGATAAGCAAACATAAAGATGATGAATTGAATAAAAACACCTCATCCACTCAGTCTGTTCTATCATTACAACAATGTTACACTACTATTTGCTTCATCTGATCATTAATTAAAGTACTTCACAACCAAAAACAAAGGCGACAACATTTGGGGTTTTTTACAGCGTAAAAGATCAAGAAATCATACAGAAAGCACAATTCAAATAGAAATCGATACATAAATTCATTAATAGAGAGAGACCTTACCTAACAATCTGAACTCCATTAGTACAGCGATGGAGAATTTTAGGGTTTAGCAGGGACGGCTATGAAGCAGATAAGGGATCCGGTGGGTGATTTGAGTGGACGAACAGATGAGGTTCCATGGATGTCGACGGGGAAGCACAGGTTACAATCGGACGGAGGCGATTGGGAAGTGTGAGTGGAAGTTGTGTAAACTTTTTGGACTAAGAAGGGTATTGAGGGAAGAAGAAAGCGGGATTAGCTAGTATACTTGATCGGACAGAGCCCAGCCGATCAGGCGTGAGAAGGAGAAGCTTATGGGTATGGAGATAAAGCAGTGGAGGATAAAAGGTGGGTATGATTGAGGGTGAGTATAATCGGAGGTGTGCATTCAACCGACATAGACCTTGAAGTATCCAATCGATTAGAGGAGTTGGGGGCGATACCTGGATTAAAGTGGTTGGAGGGAAAAACGGTGGAAGAGATGAGTGGAATATTGGTGGAACAGATTAATATGGAAGAAACACGTTGCAACGCCACAATAAATATTAAAAAAAAAAAAACAATCAATGGCAGTAAACCCACTAAAAAAGGAAAAAAAAAAAAAAAAAAAATCAATAAATCACATGAAAGTCCGAGCAAGGACTTCTAAATTATTATGTATATAAATATACATACGTGTTATTAGAAGTTAATGCAAATCTCATAATTACCATTATACAAATCAAATCACGAGTTTAGGTTCGTAACACCCAATGTTATCATTGGATATGGAATTCAACCATCAACATCACGATGAACAAAAAAGTATTTCAAGCATTGGGCGTGTTCGACACGCAGTGTTTGGGAACTTCTAGCTTCTAGTTTTTAAAAAAACGTTAGTAAAAAAGAAAAAGTCTTGTTCCGCGACAGGAGCGTTTAGCTTTTAGCTAAAACAAAATGCTCCAAAATCAAAAGCTACCCGCTAACCGCTACTAGCTAGTTTTGTCGAACACGCCCATTATAACTATCTCTTCAATATCTACAGATTTAGTCGATTAAGTTATAGAGAAAATATCATATCCTTCATACTAGATATCTTTAAGTCTAAGGACTTCTCATGTCATTACGAAAAATGTTATGGTAGATAATATAATTGTACTCAACGTATAAAAGCATTACAAAATCGTCTAATGGCCAGATTAAAGAGTTATTTTCCAACATACGCCTCAATTTCTAATTTACCAGATTAATGAGTTATTTTCCAACATGAACCTCACTTTCTAATTTACCCAACAATTTTATGTTCTATAAAATCCAATACCTTTCAAATTTTGTTTCAAAATTTGTCTTTTTTCAGATCCCAAGAGGTTGACACGATTGGCAAGTCATCTCTTGAGGATAACGTGTTATTGTTGGTGTGAAAATGATGACATGCAGGGATGGAAATGGGGCGGGGTTGACCATCCACGTCTCCATCCCCGAGTGCCTAACCTTATCCCTACTCCTTTTACATTTTAGGCGACCCAAACCCGATCCATCCTAGCCCATCCCCGATTTATCACCATAATAAATTCAACTTACGCAAAAGAAATTATTTCATGTTTAATAACCGATAAAAAAGTAGATGCCATAATCATATGTGTTTACATCAATCATAAAATCTAACAAGCAACAAAACGAGAAGTGACAATTTGGTGTATGGACCGTCGAAGGAAATGACGATTGATGAAGTTTTGGAATTGAGAATGTAATTTCGTATATAGACTCTGTCTTGATGGTATACGGTCACGCCTTCGCCTTCGCCTTCCCGCGGTCATCTGAAGCACCTGAAACATAACCCAAAACTGTAAGCCCAAAGCTTAGTGAGATCCCCCAAAGTACCAACACATAAACAAATAACAAATACAATAATAACATGTCGGGTCCAATCAACCATCGGGTTGGAATACCCCAGGCCCCTCAACCATCGGGTTGGATCGCCAACACACTATGGGTCTAATCAACCATCGGGTTGGAATACCCCATGCCCCTCAACCATCGAGTTGGAATGCCAACACACTATGGGTCCAATCATCCTCGGGATGGAATACCCTCGGGCCCATTCAACCATCGGGTTGGTATGCCCCGACCTGTTGGCTTACGCATAAAGCAGTAAAGCCTCGGCCACCGACCAAACATGTGCACATATAATAGATAATCATATAACAATCTACAGCCAGTCAAACAGATCTACAGACCACTAAGCATAGCATCATCCTATATACCAGGATACCGATCTAATAAATCACTATAGCACAATAACATACATAATAGGATATCAAATCCAAAGGGTCAGCCTTGGTGCCTTCGACGCGCAAGTACAGTGAGGAAAACTCACCTCACAAACTGAATAGATGCTGATGAGGTCCTGACTCCGAATCTCAGCTCCCTAACCGACACCTATTCCCACCAAGTGACCAAATCCATCAAAACCCCAAAATACCCAAAATACCCTCAAGGTTAAACTTGGTCAAAGTCAACTAGTCAAACCAACTAGGTCAACTGAGTCAACCCAACCGAGTCAACTCAGGTGCATACGTGGGGCGTACTCCTGAGGTACGCTGGGCGTACACGAGGCCTCGCAGGTTGACCACCATCGGGGTGGTTGACCTCATACACAGAGCGTACTCCGAGTACGCGGGGCGTACCCTCGCAAGCCCAAAAATTCCATTAAGAGCTTAATGGCTTAAGCTCTTATGTCAAAACCTCAGATCTATGGCTAAAATACTCTTAGGAGTTATAAACTCTCCAACTTTATGACCTAGCATGTCGAATAAGTGCTTAACATAAGGTCTTATTCCATTAAGACCTTCTAAATGATGCATGGAGCAAAACTAACCATTGGGACTTCATTTTTATGACTTAGGACCCCTCCTAGGGTCTGAAAGGACAACTCAAATCATCAAGAACATGTCATTCTCAAGATAATACATTTGGGACCAAAAATCTTCACTAAAACACCCATTTCTATATCTACATGATTGAAAGATAAAGTTGCAAGCTTTATACCTTAAAAAGGTTGCAAATGAAGAATAAGTTCCAGATCCAAAGTGCTTCACTCTTCCAAGATGAGCTTGGCTTCCTTCCTTCTTCTTCAAAGCACACAAACACACACTTTTAGGCTAGAAATGGCTTTTTCAAGGTGAAATAGGGTTACAAACACGAATGAGAGGGTGGAGACTGATAAGTTGAATGGAAATGAGGTCGACTTAAATACTAGCCAAACCCTAAAAATTAGGGTTTCCTTAATTGGCAAGTACACCCAAATTACACTGATGTACGCCCAGCATACTAGGGCGCGCCCTAGTACGCTTAGCGTACACCATGTATGCATGGCGTACTCTGAAGGCCATAATTACAACAATGCCATTAGGGCTCCTTTGCACACTTTCTTGAACTTAAGGACCAAAATGCAACATAATAAAATTGTAGGGTTGAAATTTGAAATACCTTATCATCGAAATGTTACAATTCTCCATCACTTGGATTAGACTTCGTGCTCGAAGTCTGCTGCGGAGCATAACTTAGGATAATGCTCGCGCATCTCAGCATCGGCTCCCAGGTCCATCCGAAGCCTCTTCGATGCTGCCAATGTACCTTTACCAAATGTATCTCTTTGTTTCACAAAACCTTCATCTTTCTCTCCAAAATAGCCACTGGCCTCTCAACATAGTTCAAACGCTCATCGAACTGAATATCATCCAAGGAAACCGCTGCATCATTATCCAATATGCACTTTCGCAACTACGAGACATGGAAAGTGTTGTGAATCTGACTGAGCTCCTCAGGTAGATCCAACCTGTAAGAAACCTTGCCAACCCTGTCAATCACTCAAAAAGGCCTAATATACCGTGGACCCAACTTTCCCCTCTTCCTGGAGCGTATCACCCTTTCCAAGGCGAGACCTTCAGTAATACCATATCACCGACCTGAAACTCCAACTCGGACCGGCGCAGTCCACATAGCTCTTCTGCCGACTCTGAGCTGTCTGCAATCTTGTCTGATCGGCTGGATAAGCTATATGGTCTAAAGGACTACTTCGGTCCTTCCCATCACCATGTGACCAACTTCGCCCTAACAAACTGGGGTACGACACCTCTGCCCATATAAGAGCTCAAGAGGCAGAGCACCAATGCTGGACTGATAACTGTTGTTGTAGGAGAACTCCGCAAGAGGTAGGTAGGAATCCCAACTCCCACCAAAATAAATAACACAGGCCCGCAACATATCCTCAAGGGTTTGTATTGTCCACTCGCTCTGATCGTCGGTCTGCGATTGATAAGTAGTGCCGAAATGCAACCTCGTGCCCAGTTCCTCGTGGAACTTCTGCCAGCATCGGGAGGTGAACCGAACATCACGGTCTGAAACAGTAGAGACCGGAACCCCATGACGAGCAACAATCTCTCGGACATATACATCAGCCAAGTTTTCGGCCGAAGAGCTCTCCCGAATAGCCAAAAAGTGGGCATTTTTGGTCAATCGATCAACGATGACCCATAAAACATCATAACCCTTTGCCGTCTTTGGCAACTTGGTGATAAAATCCATAGTGATCTATTCCCATTTCCACATGGGAACCTCCAGAGGCTGCATACCTGCCATGAGGCCTCCGATGCTCAACCTTGACCATCCTATAGGTCAGGCACCTCTTAACATACCAGGTGATCTCCCTCTTCATACATGGCCACCAATAACTCAATCTCAGATCCTGATACATCTTGGTGGCCCCCGGGTGAATAGAAAAACGAAACTTATGAGCCTCCTCTAACACAACCTGCCTAACCCCACCAGCAACTGGAACCTAAACCTAGTCACACTGAGTCAACAACCCTCGACTATCTGCGACGAACGTGTCGATCTCACCCCGGATCCTCTCCTGCTTCCAGTTCTCCTTCCGAACTCCCTCGGCCTGAGCCTCCCTGATCAATCCCAAAAGCGGGGAATCAACTGATATCCTCATACATATCTCCCTATCTGAAGATCCAACCGAGTTGCAGCTCAAAGCATCTGCTGTCACATTCGCTTTACCCGGATGGTAAAGGATCTCGCAGTCATAATTCTTTACCCGAAGAGTCTCAAATGCCGACTGTTGCGCAGGGCCCCATCGGAAATCCGCCCCCTTCCTCGTCAAACGAGTGAGGGGTACAACAATCTTGGAGAAATCCTAAATGAATCTATGATAGTAGACTGTCAGACCTGAGAAAATCCTGATCTTTGAGGGAGATTTCGGAACCTCCCACTGCATCACATCCTCGGTCTTGGCCGGGTCAACCAAAATCCCATCCTGATTAACGAGGTGCCCAAGGAACTGGACCTCTCGTAACCAAAACTGCACTTCGATAACTTTGCAAAAATCCATTCTCGCCTGAA